TTCATTCCAATTATTCGTGTTGTTAGCGCTACTTAGCTACTGCTGTTAGAGAATGCAGTTCAAAGTGGCGTAAGACAATACAAAAGTTGATTGGTTCCTGACCTGTTTTTTTTTTTTTTTCTGTGACTAAAAAAGGCCACAATTTGAAGAATTGGGGCCAAGCTGTCGAGCAATGGTCTGCTAAAATGATTCAAACTTGGATGGGTTTTAATATTGTGCATGACTTATATGTTGTTGTTTTGCAATGTATGCCTTTTGTACACACTTTGCTTGAGTTAAGTGAGCTCTACTGGTGTGCCAATCCATCACGTTGCAGTGGCGAGAGCCAAGAAGTTGTGCGGGAAGCATTATGGCTGCCCTTCTTTCAAACAAGTAGAAGAGGCTGGCAAACAAACAGCCTTCTAGCAAAAAGACTTGCAAAATGAACTCATTTGTCACTGTCGTGATCTCAATACAAAAATGCTGAAATTGGGTCCTTGTGGGAGAAACGGGGCTGGCGGGGAGGTGCCGAAGGAAACACAAGCGGTTTTGTTTGTGTGATGGAGGACAACTGTGGTGCTTTAGTGCCTTCCTCCGCTTTGCCATCACTCAGGAACACAGCGCTGTTGTATTGGTCAGAGCTGAGCATGCCATGTTGGACTCAACAATTCTTGTGTTCGCTGACTTGTGCAAGTATTCACTGTATAACTCAAGAGCATCTTTGTGCATGTAATTTACTCCATTGTAATTCAGTTTTTGCCTGTTACGCAACTCTGCCACCTGTAGGTACTGTGGAGAAGTGGAAACTTAGCCCTCAAATGACAACCACATTTTCTGTATATGCACAGCTTTTCTGATCAAGATTTCGAGAAATTCTGGAAAATATTGACTCACAACAGTGGAGAAAAAAAAATCCTGGATCCCCACCTCCATCCAAAATTATGACAACATGTAATGGATTTTCCCTACTGCTTATTGTATTTTATTATATTTTATTTGCATCTTACCACAAAGCTTAATACACCCATTTTCTCGAGCAAGTTTCCTCATGAGGGTCACGGGTGAGCTGGGACCTATCTCAGCTGCCTTCCAAATGTGCTGTGGTCAAACAAATGAATAAAAAAATGTCGAAAAACAGTGTAATATTGACTACGGGGTATTCTCTACTCACTTTTTCAGCTCAACTCAACTTAATATCCACAACACGTTAAAAACAACCACCGCTGCATACAAAGTGCCATCCTTCAATTAATATCAGACATATTAAAAAAAAAAGATACATTTAAAACAATATATAACCAGGCAACACAATAATACACAAAAAAATGTTGCGTTTCAGGCCGAGTCAAGGGTCAAAGGATAAAATAGACATTTTCTGCAATACTATTTTCAACATCATTTCAAGGTTTATTGTTCTTTGCACTGGATTTACACTATAGGTCTAAGTGGGAAAAAATCCTGTAAAGTTAGTGCTTATCAGAGCTTCAGACTGCCCCTAAATAGTGATATTTTGGCCCTACAATGTGAGATAGCACAACTGCATTTTACAATTACTCGGATAAAGTTGCAGGTTTTTGGGGGATGTCATATTTTTTGTTGCTGACAATTTTCTGCTCCCCCTTCAGCCCATTTATCAGTAGCATTGTGAAAATGAGTGAAAATGTGAATATTTACTGTATTTACAAACAAAACAAAACAAAAATGTTCATCAATTTAATCATTATACTATGTGGCTTGTCTTTGTAGAGTATTCAACCGAAAATATGTCAAAAAGGATTTGCAATACATTTTGTTTTCATTCACGTTTATACGATATAGTAATTTCATTGCAACTGGGCTTTGCAAAATAGAGTAAACCTTCCTTTTCACAAGATAGGGAACAAGGCCCAATTTACAGATTGCTTTTGGTTTAATAATATACTATTACTTTAATAGAGCTACACATCAGCATGATGAGATTGTAATTATATGAGAATTCCACGCATGAGTATGATTCAGTCTTCATCAGCAATGTTTTGTTTTCCAAGTCTCCCTCATGTGCCCTGAATTCCTGATCTTTGCTATTCTCCGCTGCATATGTATTTCGTCTAAATGCATTAGGCCTCCACATGTGGCTTCTCATTCTGCCAGCCAATCATCCAGACAAAAAAAAAAAAAAATCAAATTTTCCTCCCATTAGTGTCTCTGCTAGGAAAGAGGGCTTGCTTGAAGGTAGAGTTGGGCTGAACTCAACATTTTTTACAGGCTTTGCACACAGCCTGACAGTGGACAGTGGTATGCATGCAAGGATTTAGGCCCCGAGCTTCTTCCACTTTGAAGTCTTCTCTCGACAATTCCTTCTTCATAGAATAACTGACTCACTGGCACTGTACACGCATACCAACGGGTTTTTGCCAAGAGGAAATTGACTTCAAGATCTTGCCTTACTTTGTTGAGTTTCAGCAATCTAAGCACAGGGAAATGCATGCAAACTCTACACAGGAAGGCCAAGATCCAAACCCAGAAGCTCGGAGTTGATACGCAGACATCATCAATCATTACCGTGCCATGCTGCCCATCACTTAAATGATGTAGGCGCAATGTGGATTCGATTTTTGATGTAAAAAGATTTAAACTACTGAAAGAGCTTTTACTTCTTGCATCTGCTTGACGTAACCTCCTCTTACAATCAGTCTTCTCTTCACAGACTGGGGCTAACAGTTCTTTTGAGGGCAAAAATTGTTGCAAAAAATGCCACATCAAAGCCAAGGAAAAATAACTTAATGCCACGGAACATTTTTTTCCAACAATTCAAACTCATAGTATACTGTACATCTGGTTGTAATGAAATACACATTTTCCGTTAAGTTGAGTCAACCAACCAAGCAGCTCTGAAAGCTCATCACTCTCACACTTAGGATACTTAATGTGCCCTTCTCTTCCTTCATTGTGCAACTTTAAATTACACGTTGCGAGCTATTTATTATTCTTATTCTTGTTTTATTTATTTATTTATTTATTTTTACAGAGTTTAGGGGTTTGCACAGAGGGAGATTTATATTAGGGCGGGGGGAGAAACTGAAAACTTAAGTCACCTTGTTTGCCGAAGGAGTCAGAGTGCAAACATGGCTGACTTTAACTAGTGTCAGTTGAACACAAGCCCCAGCATACGTGTACATACGTGTGTGTGCGCGCGTGCGCGTGTGTGAGTCAAGAAGTAGAGTTGTTGTTATCACTGGCATGAGAGTACGGAAGGAAAAAACTGGACATTGAACATACAGGAGCTCTGCTTTCTTTTTTACAACAACAGCGTACACGTGTATGGAGAGGGTATGTTTTTGTGCGAACTGTGTAGATGCGTTTGCACATTTACTTTTACACTTAAAGAACGCCATATCCTCAAGTACACAACATGCTACGGTTTGATTACTATCCAACATTTCTACACATTTGTTTCACTTAAAATGGATTTCAATTTATATAAAAATGAGGACTGCATTTGTAAGGTTTCATCCTTCGACATGAGCCAGCTAACAATATTAGAATGTGTTTTCGCCCTCTACCGGTTCAGGCTGGAAGTACAGCTGAGACACGACAACAGTAATAATAATGTTTGATTTATATTTTTGGGAAGACGTTTGATTTGACAATTATTTAAAAAACTAAATGATATCTGCTCAGTGTTTGATATTATTCCACCACTGATGAGAGTTGGAAGTGAAATAACTACATCTAAGTACTGTTGAAAAAAAGGATTGAAAAGCGAAAAAAGGATGCTTGTGTGCTTATGACGAAAACAATCTATTTATTATGTTTGCAGATGATAAAATTAGCTTATTCAAATTGATTTTGTCTGCCTCTGGTTGCTGCTCTCTACCCTAAAAACCCAAATCGAGAATATTTAACCACTGTATTATTGTAGAAGCCACTTTATTTTTCACCTTTTTACCCTAAACTTGCACACAGTCTAATTAATTGTTGTTTCCTGTAGTCATACTACCATTATTTATCTCATTCTTGACTAAATAAAAGGTCTGTTAGCCTCTTCTTCAGTTCCCCTCACATTGTAAAATCATTGGTTTGCATGCAGTGATTTCACCTGAGCTGAATTCTGCTTTAGTTTCATCTGTGCACAGTGTGCAGGATGTTTTGTACAAAGTAAAATCATCTTCGTGTACCTCTACTTGTGTGTTTTGTATAGTTTAACCCGAACCGCAACCCTGGTTAATATTGTACACGTAATAATTATAGTTATGGTCGTTAATATTACATACTTATGTCCCTATTGTGTCATTTTTGTTTTCTGGCCATCTCACTGAAAGAGCCTTCCCCTGATTTTGCTTCATCTAAAGCTCAGTCACCACAATACAGATGCACGCGCACACATGCACACACACACATACACATACACACATGTGTGAACTGCATGTTTGATCTTGAACACCTGCAGCGTGTTTCACTGATGTTCACCTGCCGTATTTGTTTTGCTTTTGTTTTTTTGTTTTTTTTTAGCTGACCAAAAAGGATTTATACAGATGAAATGAAGCTGAATATTCATTGAGACTTCAGTGCAGTTGAAATGCAGTCGTGTTTCCCTTTGAACAATCAGAGATGCTATTCAAAAAGGAAAAAGCAAAAGCAGTTCATGGTTGGCATTTGATTTTCAAATTTGGGGTTCTTTGAAGTTTCGAATTGGTCTTCTCACATGAATTTGTCACCTGTTTTTTTTTTTTTTTTTTTGACAGCCTGAAAATAATTATTTTAATCCAAATTTCACAAAGACAACACATTTTTACCACACGTTGAAATCTCAAATTCTGTTATAAATAATTTATTTTCCAATTAAATTGTTTGTATTGCCTAAAGAAAAAAAAACAGACCAACTGGTGTATATAAATTCAATACAACATGTGCATGTCCTCCCCCAGTTGTCTACATTTGCCGAGTATTTCCCTTATATAAATTCAATACAACATGTGCATGTCCTCCCCAGTTGTCTACATTTGCCGAGTATGTCCCTATTTTCTCTTGATTTCTTTTAGTTGGTGAAGGCAGGAATCTGATACCCATGGACCCCAATGGCCTGTCTGATCCATATGTCAAGCTCAAGCTCATACCTGACCCCAAAAATAAGACCAAGCAGAAGACCAAAACCATGCGCTCCAACCTGAACCCCAAATGGGACGAGACCTTTATTTTGTAAGTAAATGCCGCTTTCTTTGTTCAGTATTTGATTGTTTGGGGTATTTTGTAATTTGCTAGACCATTATATAACTATCCACATGTTCCAGCAAACTGGAACCCACAGACAAGGACCGCAGGCTATCCGTGGAGGTGTGGGACTGGGATCGGACAACCAGGAATGACTTCATGGGCGCCCTTTCGTTTGGGGTGTCGGAGCTCATGAAGGCTCCGGCGAGTGGATGGTGAAGACCAATTTCTTGACGTTCATCTGCCTACCTTTCAAACTTTGCGGATTGCATCCTCATTGACTCATGTTGTCCCATGGGTTGCCAGGTTTAAGTTGTTGTGCCAGGAGGAGGGAGAGTATTACAACGTTCCCATTTCGGAGGAGGATGACGGGAATGAAGAACTGAGACGGAAATTTGAGGTGAGGATTTGCCTCTGCTTGTTTACTGACATTTTGATCACAACAGTTGATCATGCTCTCTGGCAGCTGGGAGGTACAAATGTACACGGCAAAGAATATCCCACCTTTCAGGGACAAAGTGAATCTGAAGAAGTCTGAATTTTCAATGATTTTAAGGTAATATGTGAAATCAGCAACACTATTAAAATATTGTTTATGCAAGTTATTTTGAGTGTTGCTATTTTGCCCCGTGAACTTCAATGATTCTCTTTGAAAGAAGTTGGAAAACCTGCTTTGGTAAAAGTCTATTGAAGTACTTGCAAATTCAGAAGAATACTTTTTAGTTATGCGAGATTTAGCTTACTGTTGGTATTGTATGCAGGCTAATTGTAACATTCTCATTATTTAGTGTTAGGTTGGGACTCATCGTCCATTATGCATTTTAACTTGAGCTTAATTAAAATAAAAGTGGATTAGGGTTGGTTAGCCTGACTTCTTATAAATATATGATATGTGTTGTAGATATCCTTAAATCAAATACCAGCTTGATTCCAATCATTGCCTGCTTGACAGTTAACTTCGGCGCACATTGGATTTTATTTACTCCTCATTTTTCGACGATGTTTAGGGTCGAAAATTGTTTGCTAATGCTGGTCATCAGGTCTGCTGAGTGAAAGAGTAGTTCTCTGTGCTCGTCGTCGTGATTGCCTCTCCTTGTGTCTAGAGGGAGCACGTGCCTTCAGAAAGAAAAAAATAATAAATCAGCGCATTCATGCCATAGAAATTACCCTGAAAAAGAAAGCTAAAGCTTTGCTTGTCAGTTTTATCATACCGTGGTGCTCTTCTTATGACCACTGGATGTCAGCAGATAACACAATATATAGCCCAGCACTGTCAAAATTACTGAGCCTCGCCACGTATCATATTTTACATTCGAAAAATGTAATGGCACACCACCAAATGGGAATGTATACATTGGAATAATGACGATGTGGTGTTGGAAGACCATTTATTTGTTCTGTCTTCACTATACATTGCAGGCATAGATGACTGAAGACATTTTATGACATTCATTAATTCATTCATTCTCAGAACCGCTTACCCTCACTTGGGTCTCGGGCATGCTGGAGATACTAGCTGTTGATAATTTATATATAATTTATAAATAACACTTTTTGAAATTAGATCATTTCCTGTGGTGAAACTCATGGCTTTAGACATCTGAAGAACATTTGGCACTATACAGCGGACCCTCGCATATTCATAGTTCTGCACCTGAGGAATCATCTATTTGCGGATTTGAAAATAAATAAATAGATAAATAATCATGTTTGTTTGTTTTTTAAATAAGGAGGAGGAGTTAATGCAATTATATTCCACGTCAGGTATTCATAGATTTTCGCTATTCGTGGGCCAGCCAGGTCCCCTATGCACCGTATACCTGTACGTATAATTTCGGAATTTAGAATTAGGGGTTCTGGTCCCCCTTTTTTAAGACCATAAAGCAGAGGTCGCCCAGCCTCCATATTCCTCACTCCCATTAATCACACCTCTGATTCTGATTTGTTGCCACAATATTAGAAACAGCTCGCACAACGACATAGTGCAAGTCTTCACCCCTGCATACGACAATGAATGCTAACGGACAGGGTGAATCATTATGACATATTGTCTGAGTCAGGCCCGTTGGTTGCTTCTCCTTATGGTTCCAGGACCAAGCACTTTCGGAAGACTCTGACAGGAAGAAAGTAAGGCTGCTCGCTCGGCTCGGACAGGCTCTTGCCTTTGGCCAAAGCTTCAAGGTGTGCGGTGGTTTGATGCAGTCTGCTGCGCTTTGCACATCAGCTAGACTCTAGTACATGCAATTAACCAAACTAAAGCTGCTCATACTTTGTGACAAGCTCGTTTGAACTGAATGTTTCCTGACCTGGAAAGAGGAACCACGTCATTGGAATGCTTGAAGTCTGTCAGTGAGCTGACACAGAATGTGACACAAGTGTACGTATTGTACAGTGTATCATTTTCGGACTTGTGCAGTCAAACCAATGTTTGCTGTAGCGCAGTGTTGACTTTTCACATCGGTTGAGGCTCCGGTTTTGGAGTAAAAGGGTGTGAAAATGATGCGTTTGCTTTGCTTTTAATGCATTTGTGATGGCTGTTAGCTCAAGTATCTCTGGATTCTGATTTTAGCCACGATGTCAGGTTCAGCATGAGGTTTGGATCTGTTTGTCCTAGCTGAGAATTTAGAACACAAAATATGGTTGGAGTTTTATGCATACTTGGTAGGATTTTTTTTATTTTTATTTTTTTAATGACAAGCGCAAAGACTGATGATGGTTTCTGTCAGAGATTTTCTCGGACAGAGTTAAAGAAATGACTCAGCACACAGGAAAATTGTCTTCTATATCGGCGGGGGGGGGGGTCTGTGGGG